GGTGGTAGGCACAATAGAGGTTTGAGTTTCTCTTATCTCTTCTCCCCGGAATTTCAGGAGAGTTTCGGCCGAGGTGATTCTGCCTCATCACAGCCAGGACATGGGTCCGGCTGAAATTGAGGGGCGTGAGCTCGGCGTCCGAGGTGGACGACCTGTCTTTTACGATTCGATCGAAGACACTCCGGCGGTCTCGGAACTGAGTTGACGAGCCACTAGGGCCTTGTTCGACTCGGCCGGCGTCTTTTTTCCTTCGGGAGTCCTGCCCGGTACGAGTGGCTTGAGCCTCTCGCTTCATACGGTTTAGGTCTTCACTTCGGATTCCCTGGTCTACTCGATCCCAGAGTTCCCGAAGTGTGCGGGGGTAATCCCGGTGTATCTCAGTATTGAAGATTCCCGCGATCAGCCCATTGGTGAAGGCAGCTATGGTTACCTGCTCATTCTGATCAGGTATCTGCACGTTCTCCTCATTGAACCTCTGCACATAGGAGCGCAGTGACTCGCCAGGGGCTTGCTGCAGGTTCAAGAGGTAAGCTGAAGTCTTCGTAATTGGACGAGACGATACAAAGCGGTGGATGAACCGATCTATCAACTTGTCTAACGAGGAAATACTCCTCGGTTCTAGGCCCCAGAACCACTTTCGGGCCGTCCCCTGTAGGAAGATGGGGAAAGCTCGGCAAATTACTGCGTCGGGGACGCAGTATAGCCGAAATGTAGAAAGGAAGGCGCGGAGGTGATTCTCGGGGTCACCTCGGCCATCGTAGGAACGTAGGGCGGGAAGTTTGAAATTTGGTGGGACCATCTCCCCATTGATGTCATCCGTGAAGGGCGGTGCCCTCAGATATTCGGCTGTTAAGCCTCCGGGACGCCGAGGTGGGTCCGCAGCTCGTTTTCCCAAAAGACCCCGGGAAAATGCCTGGGAAATGGAAGCAATTTTAGATGTTGCCTTGGAAGAGGCGCGCCTGGAAGTGCTCCGAGAGAGGTGCCCCTCATCGGAGTCTTCGCCGGAAGGCACTTCAGGGGACTTCGTCGGTCCCCTCTTGGAGGATTCAGCCTTTTCCTTCCCCTGCCTCTTGAAGTACCTCCCCAATTCTTCAAAAATGTTGGGGTTATCAGCCACGAACTCGGCCATCTTGGCGATGGCGTCTTCGTTGTTGGGCTGGGTCCTTGGGGACCCTTGTTCTTCTGAAATACGATCCTGCTGGGCTCCCGATGTCTGCCCAGCCCCGGTCGAGGGGACTCTTCTACTTCTGGAGTGCGTGGATCTCATTTTAGCAGTAATCTCGTTCCCACAGACGGCGCCAATTGAAGAGGTGATTTTTGGTGGGTAGTTGAACCGACCAGAATCAGGCTCCTATGAGATGAAGTGAGGTGTATTTGCTTGTCCGAAGTGAATGGCGGGGCTTCTCCCCTGGGATCACTCCGACGCTCAAGTTAGTATGAGAACGAGAGAAATAATAGTATCGTCAAATGAACAGTGTGCTTACTTGTTGGGTGTACATGAGAGGTATTTATAGAGCGGGAGTGGATGGTAGGAAGGAGAGCTCATGCTAGCGGGACCCATGTTCTGCCATTACGGCTCTGTTCCAGGCCAGGAGGTCTGACTCTGACACTGTAGCCGCCTGGGCAGGGTGACGGGAGTCCTGCATAGTAGCCATTAAGAGGTCAATGCTTTTCAGATAAAGCACTGGTTTCTGGTGCTGTCAGGGGGCTTGACATCATCAGCGTGTAGCTGAGGTGAAGATCTGAGGTGCAGAGGTCGACTAGGCAGTAGACCAGGGGCCCGGCCGAGATCAGGGATCACACTCAGGACAAGACTGCGCTCTTGTGAGGGATGAAATGGAATCACCTCGGCCAATCAGGGATGGCCGAGGTGAGCATCCTCACCTATCTAAATCCATTACTGTGCTCAAAAGTCATCATTAGCCAATTCCATGAGTTTCTGTCTTGTTGAAATTTGAAAATAGCTTTCAAACACTTTTGGATGTTTCATCTTCATTGCACACTTTTATGAGTTTCCTGGAGGAATGCTTATGTTAATAATTGAAGTATAAATTCATCTTTCGACTCACATTGAGATCAAAATTGAACTATACTTTTAAAGAAATGAAAAGATGGTTTTGGTTGAACACGGCAAACTGAACTACTGAAATTTGGTTGCAAAATTTGAAAAAAGAAATGTCTGAATACTCTATCCTTAGCTCTCATATTCAAGTTCTTTTTGCCCGTATGACTTTATTGCACATATGATGCATTCCAAACCATCTACGTACGAAATTAGCAACTCCGCCTCTAGTCATTCGTCTTAGGAGCTGACTTATAGAAACCAATGTGATGATGGCCATGTTTTTGCTACCCATATACAGTTTAAACCTTGTCAAACTCCTTGGGCCTATGAATTATGTTCATTCCGTAAACCTCTTGATGATCGTCCCCACCTTGGAGCATGGTAGAAAATAAAAACTTGAAACATGAAAGTGTTGTTTTTCATGTTTCACAAAGCACTAAGATGTTTTTGCTACTAAATTAAGTTTTAGTAGCTCTGCAGCTGAATTTATCGATGTTCGCGATCTCAACTGCCACAAAAATAGGATGATGTTTTGGCCTTCGTTTCCCTACTTCAACACAATGACCTCTGTTGTTCCCTTTGAGCCTTTAAACTTGATAATTCATTTCACGTTAAAACCCCTGCTGATCACACCTCACACTGGGGTTAATTTTTTGAGGGTGATTTCATGGAAGTTAGAGTACTTAAATTGTGATTTTTTATGAAATCAAGGATTACAAGAATGTTGAGTTCCAATGCTCGAGTTTGAGATGTTTACTTCTAAAAAAGAAAAACAAAAGAAAGAAAGAAAACAAAAGGAAAGAAAGAAGGAAAGCAAGGAGAATTTGAGAGAAGCTCAAATATCAATAGTTTAGTTCCCAAAAAGGACAAAAAAACTGAGAGAGATTGAGAAGAGGCTCACATCCCAGAATCAAGAAGCCTCGTGGTGTAAAGAGAGCAAGTCAAATTTTTGAAGAAACAGCTGGACAGCCCAAAAGTTTCACTTGGGCGGCAGCTTATGCAGAAGTGGTCACAGGTTCTAATCATGGTTCGAAGTCTCGGCCGAGACCGAGACGACTCGGCCGAGTCGTCACCGTCTCGGCCCCTACCGATACGATACCGTGACGAAACGATACCGAGATACTTGACTCGCCGAGAAATCGGCCGAGACGTCACCGCGACGGATGGACTCGGCCGAGTCACTCCGAGTTATCCCGAGTCAAGACGAGAAATCGGTCGAGTTACACCGTGACGGATTGACTTGGCCATTTCTTTTGCTATTTTTTATTATTTTTGTTTAGCATACTTTTTTTATATTATTAATAATTTTTAGAATATTAAATACTTTAAAATTTGCGTCCCACCGAGACCGCGACCGATATGTCGAAACCAATGTAGAACGTTCCAGGCCGCGACCGTGACCGCGACCACGACTTTGAACCATGGTTCTAATCCTTAAAAAAAAAAAAATTATCTTTTGGCCTTTACTATCTTATTCTTTGCTTAAACCTACTCCAAGCCTACATTACGATCTAATAAAGGTCCAAATGCTGACTAATTTTGGGGCAGTTATGGCGAGGAACAATATTCTTTCACCACTGAAGCAGCTAAGAGAATTTGGTCACAGCTGTTTCAAGGTGATCTCAAGATGATTTAACCTGAAAAATCAAAACTTTGAGCCTTGGTATCCCTTCTTTTTCAGCCCTTTACCTTACAACCAGAACAAAAATCAATCTGATTGGTTTCTTTAATGTGCTCATAAGATGATTGTGAGCTGAAAATGGAAAGTTGGAGCATTGATATCCCATCCTTTTCAGCACTATAGACAAGACCCTCTTACAATCAGAGTGAAATTCCATGTGATTGGTTTCTTTATGGCCAGTCAATTTGAGAAGATGTTCCTTTTCTAACTAAAGCCTCGAGAGAGTAGAGAGCCTCGTAACAGTTTGTCATATTCCATTAAGATCATCTTTATCTTATTTACGTGGATAACATACTTTTAATTATTAATCAAAGCATTCATCCTAGAATTTCTAAGCACATAGGAAGTGATATTGTGTTCTCCAAGTCATCTACCAAAGAATTATTGCGCAGGCCCTCACCTATTTTTTATTTTTTCCTTTTATAACAACATTGTGTATCAGGAGAAATAAACTTGAGAACCCCTTCCTAGATGCAAATGGTGTTTGTTACCTATTTGGAAGGGACTGAGTAATGGAATAGGACTGTTCACAACTTCTTTCACTGATAGTTCTTTGTTCTTCAATTTTTTACATGGGAAATACCAAATAAAATAAAATAAAATTTTGGGTGCTTAAAAATGGTTTCATGATTTTTGGAATATTCTTGTTACTTCTTTGGTACAAGGGAGGGAAAGGAGTTTAGCATAAGTGGAAGGAGCTGGCCATATGTTTTGTAATCAAAAAGGCAAGAGAATGGCTGTGGGGCTGTGATCAATTTGGTTGCATGTATAAATCTGCATTCAGTTTTTTTTTTTATTTTTGGTAGATGATCTACTTATTTGGTCAAGTCCTTTTTAGTTTGGAATTTTGCTATACCCTAATTTATGTTTTCTTTGTTTTTTCTTGTTTCCATTATGTTGGTTTGATTGAGGACATACAAAGTGCAACCTAATGCTTTGGCTTGTAATATTATTTAATTAAGCCAAACTCTTCTGTTTATTATGTGCATATGAGTTGGTGGCACTACAACAAAAAATGACCTTTATTGACATACCTATAAAGACACTTGCTTACATATGTCCTTAAAACACCTCAATCATGACACTTAGTATCAACTCAATAATATATATTCTAATTATTTTTTATTTTATTTTGTTTAAAAATAGTGTGTCCTTTAGAATACCTATTTTGACAATGGACTCTATGTGAGGCATCTTGAAGGACGAAACAAAAACAAAAAACGACGTCGTTTCCAATTGGCCCAAATTTCAGGCGCCTAAAACTTTGCCAATTTCTTTAGCTGCTCCACTGTCTCAGTCTCCCCCTTTTCTCTCTTCTCTCTACTCTCATGAGAATTTCACCAATCCCTCTCTTGACATCTCTATCACCACACTCTCTAACTCTCTATATCTCTCAATCGAACCTCTTTTTTGAGTTTTTTGGTTGAATCACACAGCAGCAATCGGTCTCTTTGCTTGCCCATTTAAGGTTTGTAATTGCATGTTAATTTTTTTGAGTAATTTCATGTTAGAGTTATATAAATTATTCACTACTTACACACTGAATACACCCACCACTCTTGATTTTTTTTCATTTTTTTTGTGATTATATTGGATAATTTTAGCGATCTTTGAAGCCATTTATGAGTTGTGTCAATAATGGTTCCTATTTTTGGATTTTTAGTTGCTCTATTATGTTGAATAAAGACGGTTAAACTGCAAAATTAGCCCTCAAATAAGACAGAATGTGGTTAATCTATTTTAACCCTTCAGCAATTGAGTGCCACTTATTCACTTTCATGTTTGCAATGCCTGTTCAATTACTGGACTTTATATGAAATTTTGGTTGGCTTTCATTCTTTTTATTGATTGGTATGTTTTTTCGTATTAATCTAGACATGTAAAGAGTAAGCAATTTGGGCTAGTGTTCTTATGGTGGAAGTAGTAAGCGAAGTAGTCACTATTTTTTGGACAAAACTTTGAGGGAGATTTGAAGAATCAGATACAAATCACTTGCAAATTGAAAGGTATGACTTTCCTCTGTCACTTTGTTTTTCCTTTTGATTGATAAGTCTTTCCAATTTTAAAAAGAGCAGAAAATCTGATTCTGTTGTTGTTCGCTAGTAAGGCAGTTTATGTGATGATGGGATAGGGAAGAATGAACACAAATTAATTGCAAAAGTTTGTTTCATTATGGTTTTTCATTCTTTGTTTGTTGATGTTGTTATCTAGTTGGTAAAACTTGCAATACCAGATAGGCATAAATTAATTGGGTGCTCCCTGTGAAAACTTGGAACTGAACTAACCTTGTAGCTAACAGTCAGCTATGCAAGCCTTTATCATTCTGGTCATAAATTGGTGTAGAAATGTCCAAATTGGATGCCGTTTATTGCACATGAAACCAGATTCAATGACCATTCAAATGGTATAAGAGTCACACTTTGATTCTTTTTCTATTAATACCGGTAAATCTGCAAATTGGACTAAAAATTTGAACTCTGCACATCTGAGAACCATAGATGTCCTGAATTGCATGCGAATTTAAGATGGATTATAGTTAAAATCATAAAATGATGCACTTTAAGAAAATGCAGTACCCTGAATGTAGTTTAGGAGGGTACAAATTTTATAGTTTTTTGACAAATGCATAGCGAGTAACATCAATTTCGCTAGGCACTAACAAGAGCTAAAGTAATCTGTTAGCTAACAATCAGTTATGCATGCCTTTATATTTCTGCTCATAAATTGTTGTAGAAATGTTCAAATTGGATGCCGTATGTTGCACGTGAAACCAGATGCAATGGCCGTTCAAATGAAATAAGATCATGCTTTGATTCTTTTTCTATTAATACCAGTAAATCTGTAAAATGGACTGAAAATTGAACTCTGAACGTCTAAGAAATGTAGATGTCCTGAATTGCATGAGAATTTAAGGTGGATTATAGTTAAAATCACAGAATGATACACTTTAAGAAAAAGCAGTACACTGAGTGCAGTTTAAGATGCTACAAATTTTAAATGTTTTCAACGAATGCATAGTGAGTAACATCAATTTCATTAGGCTTAAGAAAGTGCTAAAGTAATCTGTAAGCTAACAGTCAGCTATGCATTCCTTTATAGTTCTGGTCATAAATTGGTGTAGAAATGCTCAAATTGGATGCTGTTTCTTGCACATGAAATCAGATTCAATAACCTTTCAAATGGTGTAAGAATCATGCTGTGATTCTTTTTCTATTAATGCCAGTAAATCTGCAAATCGGACTGAGAATTGAACTCTGTAGATCTGAGAACTGTAGATGTCCTGACTTGCATGCAAATTTAAGGTGGATTTTAGTTAAAATCACAAAATGATGCACTTTAAAAAATAGAAGTACCCTGAGTGTAGTTTAGGATGGTACAAATTTTATAGTATTGACAAATGTATAAAGAATAACATCAATTTCACTAGGCACTTGCAAAAGCTAAACTAATCTGCTAACTAACAGTCAGGTTTGCATGCTTGTGTAATTCTGGTCATAAATTGGTGTGAAAATGTATGGATGCCATTTGTAGTGTAAACTAGATTCAATGTATAAAGTTATATGATACGACATTTTAAAGTGCCTTTACAGAAATCAAATTTTTAACATTTTAGAGCTATCCTGACATTAGAGATTCGCAAGAATGGTGCTTTTTGTTGGCAACTGTACTGCCTTAATAAATGAGTTTTCCTGACACCTTTAAATGCCATTGAGCTATCCCCACATTAGAAGGGATGACACTCATCCGAGCTATGACGAAAGGTAAAGTGTCAGCTTATATCATCTATCCTGACACTTTCAAATGTCCTTAAAGGCATTTTTTGTTGCAGTGTGGCTTGGAGTGTCCACCTGACCAGAAGGAAAGGCAAATATAGTGATTGCAAGGCTGAACTTGTGAAGATAGTCAGTCCATATATACATGCAAAATGATGAAACGGTTGCTAAACCCGTGAAAGGATTGATTCTTGGTCCACTTGCAAGCTTTATATTTTGGTTGCTGAACCATGAACAGAAAGGATTGCAGGAGGCTCTTATAGTAGTTTTGCTGCTGTGGCATGTGCAGGACTACTATGGGATGCTGCTTTTAGTGTTGATGGATGAGGTAAGCTACTTGATCCTTTTCTTCTTCTTGTTCTTCTCTTCCCTTGTTAAAAACCATAATGAGGGATTTTGGAAACCATAACGAATCTAGCTATACCTAATCAACTTTAAGTAGCAGTTATTTTTCTTATCGTAGTCATTTTTTAACGAGGTAGCTGTTCTGCATCAAGCTTTGCGCATTTGTCAAAGATAAAAAATTCTTACAAAATGAAAGATCATTTCCAATGGAAACTAAACAAAGGCATTATGAGCTGAATTGTATAATAAATAGGATGTTGGTTTTCAGCTTTGGTAAATTGTTGTATAATTGGACCTTTTTAAGCATGGATTTTGCACAAGCATCTAATCTAAGCTATGCACGATTTGTATATTGACTACATTATGAGGTTTAAATCATATCTAGTAGAATTGTTTGTCATTTGTCTCAAAATGTTCTTCTTTTGGAAATTAACTTGAATGTTGGTTTCACTTTCTCTACTTGATTAATGATTGGGATCTGAACGAATGCCTGCTCCTCTTCATGCTGTTGTTGTTCTCAGCAAACTCTTGGACGTGTGCCACACTGTATTTTGTGTCCATTGATGTTTGTTGACCTAATCACTTTCTAGACAAAATTGGTGTATTGAGATTGGGATATACCTTTCTCTGATTGACCAAAATCCTGAAATCTCGTCAAAATATTTTGTTCTTTCTTCTCTGTTCTAGTGGATTATTGCAATTTTTTGAACGATTGCTTTCATCCTCTCTTTTCTTCCTCAAAATGAGCATTTTGATTCTTGAACATTTGTAATTTATATATACTTAGACAAATTTTCTTGGATGTCAATTGCCTCAAAAGGTCAATGTGAACAAATCTGTTTCTTCATTAGCTACAAAGTAGTGATTTGGGTGTGTAAATATTGATCTTGGCTAACTAATGCCACCTAGTATACTAAAGGATTAAAGATACCTGTTATTTCAGTTGTTTTGCTTGATCAAGTTTTGGATATTAATGTGATCAAGTAGTTATGTGCAAGTGTACCTGCAAAGCTGTGTCTCGTGGTCATAGTTTCTGAGTGACTATTACAAAATGATTGGAATAAAAGTTGGGATTTTTCTTAAGCCACTGTTGCAGTCATAATTCATGAAAGATGCGGATTACTTCAGATTGCTTGCTTAATCTGGTTACAGTTTGAGAGTGACTCCTGTTGTATATTAACGGTTTTCTTACATTGTTTTCTTTATGTCACAGGGACTATGGACATCCTTTTTGACATGATTTTAGAGCAAGTAGTAGCTCCAAAGGATGCAAATATGTTTCCTGCATAACCTGTAAAGTTGCTTTGTAGTCATGTTTCTTGAGTGGCTCTATTTTAAGTTTGCTGTTTAATGATTGGGATAAATGTTGAATTCATGCTTTTGTGGGTAATTGTTCTTGGCATTATGTGTTTATGTCATGCTTTCTTTTCTGTTTCTTGTTCGCTTGATAACTTTCTGACTTGAGGTATCAATGAGATCTTAAATCTTTCATGTTAAGTGTTCAATGACTATATACATTGACAGCAGGAAATTCAGTTGAATTAATCGATTTGGCCCACTTAAATTAAAAACTCATATGCTACGCCTTACGAGTGAAATTATGCTTGGAGAAAATCTAATTAACTTGTTCTCCAAGAGCTTTTTGTTTAAATAATTATTGCCATGTCTTACATAGGTTTACATACATATTACTTGAACATACATATCATTTTTTATTCAATGTAGTGTGCCTTGTGCATTCCTTGAGTTAGATCATGCAACTTGCCCCAAGATGCTTAACTTCTTCACTGGCTGGAATTTAGTCTAGACTTGACAATAGGTGTTCATTTTAATCTATGAAAAGTTGCTTTTTGGCCTGCTTTGAGAAACTGTGTACAAAATCTGAATTTTCTTGTTTTCTAATTACTCTTGCTCTATTCAACATATCCCACTGAAATTGCCCATCATATTCAGCTAAAACAACTAATGCATCAAGTACTACATAAGAAATGAAGTACTAACTAATGCATTCCTGAACAGCAGTAAGTAAGATTTGTTACATTGTTTTCTTTGGTTACTTTGTATCGCTGTTCAGCAACCAGGATCTTTCTTTTCCTTTTCTTTATTTTGTCAGTTCACGCATCCGAAAGACTATCAGCAGTAATGCTGGGTTTCTGGTGTACATTGTTTTCTTTTGATATCTGCTGCTGCTGATGCTATTTATAATTTTCACTTGATGTTGACGAGGAGTGTGATTTAAGTGCTTATGATATAAACTAACACACATGTCAAACAAAACTAATTGTAAACTGCAGAATTACAAATTTGAGGAATGCCAACCATCTAAATGTAAACTGGAGTGTGCAAGCCAAATTTGTAGTTATATATCTAAATGTAAATCATTAATAGCACAAAATATCACAAAACTTGGCTCAGAGCACCGCCAAATGGTGTATCTCTAAAATTGATGTGGGACAAGATGGGTGAGATCTTGCCTACTTGTGCGAGCAGAAGAACAAGGGCCTTGAGATTGTTTTGGTGCTGTGAACATTATCCTGGACAGTGATGTGGTAAGAAAAGAGGGAAAGAAGTAGAGAAGCCAAGAGAAAGCAGAACAACACAACTAATAAACCAAAACTAAATCTTCATTCATCAAATTCTCTGCAAAGAATGACATAGAAACACAAGTATTCATAAAGTAAAAAGGTACCTAAAATTCCTATTTCCATATTCTAAAGAGCAAAAGTAACTAGTTGTAGAACTTTAGAACTTTTTGGAACTTTCCCTTTCCCCATAAGAATGCTTGAACAACTTACCTGATATTGTAGATAATGAAAAGAGGCCCAAAATGACTGGCATTCTGGAAATTTTAAGTGACAAAAGAAAGACCAAAATGTTTAAGGCCCAATAAGAGAAACCACTGAACATGCAGAGAACTTTGAGCATTGTAAGACTCTAGGAATCACTGCGGATGGACTCTTTTAGACCAAAATAATTTTTTTTTTGTCAAATGATCCTTTAGTTTTATTCTTAGCTTCCAAGGATGAAAATATCCTTTCAACCAGCTTATGGTTGGAAAATTAGTGGAGAAATTGGTAGAGAAAAGGGTAGGGAAGGGAAACCAGTTATTATCACTTTTAGCTGATTAGAACTTGAAGCTTCCAAAATTTTGTTGTCAGCTGTGTCAATTTGCTGCAAAACCAACAATAAAGCTTCAATCCAACTGAATCTATTGGCCATGCCATCTAATGTAGAGAGAAAAGATTGCAATGCTTCTAATTTTTTTTTTTCCAATTTCATGCACTTTTATCTTTTAGCAAAGCAACTTCTTTTGGACATACTCTCAAAATCTTTCGAGAAAGTCTCAAAGTTTGAAAAGAGTTCTGCGTTTGTAACCATATTAGTCAAAGAAGAAGAAGAAAATATGGCTGACAAAGAGGAAGAAAGTTTGATTCTCAACTTACATAAGTACCTTCTCTTAAATTTTATTCAAGGAACTTAAAGTGGTCTTTTTGGAGTGCTTGTGGGTCAGTCCCATAGGCTTGTGGCGGTTGCTGGACGGCATACTCAATTTCTAGTATAGTGAACATATCGCAAATACTTTTCTCCATTCACAGTCCAGCAATGTCATGCTCAATTTGTAGTAAAGTAGTGAACATATCGGAAATACTTTGCTCCATTCATAGTCCGGCGATGTCATACTTAATGGCTAGTAAAGTAGTGAACAGATCTCCATTCACAGTCTAGCAAAGTCTTTCAAGTCATTACAGAAACACCATATAATGGCCTCATACTAAAATACACTGCTGGTATAAGGGATTTCAAAGATATGGCCTATAGGCTCATACTAATATAAACCGCTGGTAAGTCTGGAATCCAAGAATCCGCCTGAATAAACTTATAAACCATGAAAGCAATGACTTCCTTGGACCGATTTGATGCTTTATATCCCACCCATGAAATTCGTCTCCCTGTACCTGCACCAGCACCCCAATTACCGTATTCTCTGTAGGTTAGCTCATCTGTGCGATGGCCTGGCCACTCATACCACTCAGCTGGATCTACGATGCTTTCCAAGAAAGATTGCATCACAATCACGGTCGACCATGCAAACCATGGTCTTCCAAGAAAAGCGTGAACCTGAGATTTGTTGGACTGCAAATCTGGGGCTGCTGTCAAAGTGGAATTTTGAATGACAAATCCACTAATCTCATCGCGTGACCTTTTTCCCTATGCAGTGAAAGTAATAACACGGTTAGGCAACCGTGCATATAGGTTGCAGCTTTGAAAGACTGCCGCAGCATTGCCAAACACAAAATTAACAGTGCCGTAGATGTCACACTCCTTATAGAATTGCCTGCCAAAGTGTGCACAGAGTGTGTCATGGAACCCTAAAAATGTACATCTGTAAAATGATGATCTGTCAGACTGGGACATTAGGGCAACAGCTTGAGTGGCTTCTCCTGCTGAGTTTTCCAAAGTTATGTACTTGGCCATGAAACGATTACCTTTAACAGCTGCTAACAATGAAATGTAATGGCATTTTAATAAGCTTCATATGCTATGAAATAGATAAAGAAAAAGTTTATGAAAAAGAAAAAGAAAGGAAAAGAGACAGTAAATAAAGCTTGCTGAAAATTTAAATCCTGTATGCAATATTTGTGCCACTGCAGAACCAAAACGAACTTCTAAATCTTCATTTGCCATACATTTCCAGCTGCAAGGACACAAGAAATTGAGCAATGTTCATGGAAACGGTATTATGTTTAATGCAACCGTGTCCAAGATAAGACCTGGAGCATATAGAAGGATAATGGATGCCATTGCATCAGCACCCATTCAGAGTCAATCTAGGTACTTCATTCATGTGAAGGCAGGTATATATGTGGAGATTGTGGAAGTGTGGGTAAATAAGACGAATATAGCTTTGATTGGAGATGGTGAAAATGTAACCAAAATCACATACGGCAAAGTGCTATAGTGTAGTGAAGAAAGGAAAACTTGATGTCCCCTGTTTTTCATACCCTGCCTTTTACTAAACACCTTTCATTAAAACTGAAATGTTGTAATCCTACTAAAGCATATACGTTAATTATAAATTGCAGTCAGAAGTCCTTACAAACAGTGGCAGTTTCGTTTGTTTGGAGCTCTGGGAATCTCCTGTTCATTGTGATTTTGGTTACATTTTTACCATATCCAGGCAAAGCTATATTCGTTTTATTTACCCATACTTCCACAATCTCTACATATATACCTGCCTCCACATGAATGAAGTACCTGGATTGACTCTGAATGGGTGCTGATGTAATGGCATCTATTATCCTTCTATATGCTCCAGGTCTTGTCTTGGACATGGTTGCAATAAACATAATACCCGTTTCCATGAACGTTGCTCAATTTCTTGTGTCCTTGCAGCTGGAAATGTATGGAGATGTAAACAGATACAACCAAAACCAATACAATCACGATGACTGGTGAAGCGCCCTTAGCCATACCTCCCTACCTGCACGTGGAGATTAGTTAGTCAATGCTAATAGCAGCCTGAGTGTTCTTTTTGTTTATTAGTTGGTTGCAGGGATAACATATATTGCATGTTTTGAGTATTTAAAAGAAAATGGAGATGCAGAAGTTTACTGATATTGGTGGGGAACGAAATCATGATTGCAAATTGTTACCTTAGTCCTAAAAACAGAAATAAAAGGCTAATCAGTTTTTGTGTTTGTATTTTATTCTATCTTGGTTTGCAGACATAATGTTTCATTATTTCTGGCGGTAACATACTATAGCCAACTGAAACTTTAATCCTTGCCCAAAAAGGATGATTTGTTTGTTGAATTGCTTTGAGTGTATAATGCAAATGGATAAAAACTATTTCAGGCCAATGGACATCTTTGGGGGTAATGAAGAACTGCGAATGGATAAAACCAGTTCGGGCTAATGGACATCTTTGGGGATAATGACCTGAAACTGCCCGCTACATAAAATATGCTTGATATTCAGAACATGATTTACTTCCTGTAGCCAACTAAAACTTTAATCCTTATCCAAAAAAGGATGATTTGGTTGTTGAATTACTTTGAGTGTATAATGCAAATGGTTAAAAACCATTTTAGGCCAATGGACATCTTTGGGGGTAATGAAGAACTGCGAATGAATAAAACCATTTCGGGCTAATGGACATCTTTGGGGATAATGACCTGAAACTGCCCGCTACATAAAAATATGCTTGATATTCAGAACATGATTTACTTCCTGCGGCTTTCCTCCTCGGTCGGTGATCACAAATTACAACTGTAAGTAGGCACAGAAACAATAATGAATATTTTTTGTTTTTAGATTTTGAATATTAAACTTAACTGCCTTCATTATAATGCAGTAATTTGATGGCCAATAACTCCACAGTATTAGATTCTAACAGCAGATGAATTCAAGAAATAATTTATATAGTTAGATTATGTGATTATAAAGTGAGTGAGAGGATATTATATACTTTTTGGAATAGCAATCATGATTGAATCCTTTAGCTGCTGTTTAATTTTCCGTATACGCTTGTGTTATAGTAGTATTTGGCCAAGACAGCTGCTAAGGCCTGACTAATGGATGTTAACTGATATACATTTATGCTTACATGAGCTTAAGAGATAGTCAGGGATACTGCGGAGTGCAGACTAGCATTGACTTTGTCTTCTGGATCGGAATTGCAAATGTACATCATTTTGGCAAGAGTGAGTTATCAGTCATTACCATATAAAAGCAACAGTGCATTTATGCATAACCTTGACAACTACGCAATTCCACCATAATTTACAGAGATTAAATCTTCCAACATACTGATTGATGCAAATTGAACTGCTGAAGTTTCTGATTTTTCGATTATTACTAAACATTCCAGAGTCCAAGTGCGATAACGGGCTGACCAAGCCAGTAGGTTACATTGGTACAGAATACTTTGGTCTACATGTATTGACAGAGAATAGTGTTGATGTTGTGGTCTTGGGGTAGTATTATTAGAACCTTTGACCGGGAAAAGGGCTATTTAACAATGGCTAGCTGCGCTAAATCTATGTTAATTTCCCCTGACAGCAATGGTATTTTGCTCAGTATCAATGGTAAGCATGCCATAACATTGTAGCAAATCACCCTCCCCGCTCATGCAGAATAAAATTAGTCCATCCCGAATGAAGGTAATTCAAATGTAATGTCCATCCAAGCTCGGAATTGTCCATCAATTCCACGGTACGATTTATGTTAATATCAATTCACAAATAGTGAATATATGATAGACAGAATATCTGTTACCACATCGTATCCATTAGAAGAGTTCAATACAGTATAAGAGATGATATTATATTTGGACATAGTTTTTTAATTTCATTCTCTCTTCTGAAATGGCATCTTACTAAAAACTCAAGGCTATGGTGGTAACACTCATTGGATGAGCAAAAAGCTAGATGAGTCCTTTTTTTGTGTCAAAGAGAACATTTTATCCACCTAGCATGACATGTCCAAATTGCACGAATGATCCAAGTAATAACGATATTCACTGAAACAATTCACAAGATTTTACTTGTCCATAATGTCAAATTCATAGATAGGTTGCACCTGAAATGGTCTGTTCTATACGAGTATAGACAAGAAGACACCCTTCCGATTGAAGAACAAGCCTTTGACTCCTTCAATCAAGTCAATTTGAAGTGAATAGAGGGCTACTTTCTTTGTTTCAAGAAAAATAACAAAGACTGTGACATCTTTTTATTCTAAAAAATGATGTAACGGATTTTAGCTTTGACCCTATTTATCAAGTGGCATTTGATATTTAATTATTAGGCTATTTTTTTACTCCTTGTATAATTGTATAGTCTGTTCTATTATGATTGGTTTAGATAATCAATCCTAAATTCTGAAAATTTAAAGAATTTAGGGCATGACAACATTGATTAATGTTTACTTTTCACCGAGATAACATATATTATATTTTGTTCTTTACTGAGACATCTCTAAAAAAAGTTTTGTGGCAAACTATTGATCAGTTTCTTCATTAAACTTAAGATAAATGACCCTTTAGTCCAGAGCCAAACTATTGAGATATTATGCTCTCTTCTGGTAAATTGTCCCCTTTTATCAATCGATGAATTTTCACATTTCGCCTGAAAAGATGATATTAACCTATTTCTCTTCCAGGAAAAGAAATCGTTAGATTTTGCTGTTATGAAAATATGGTTGTCAGTATGAATTATGTGATCAAATTCATGATCATTTGTTTCTTCTTGTTCTAATATGTGTTTGGATTAATCCAAGCAATCTTAAAGTCCTATTATTATCACCCTTTGCAATTGCAAAACAAATTCAAAAGTTGTGAAATTTTTTAACATAGTATTTAGTTCAAATTAATGTATTTTTATCATTCAATTTATCCAATAGTGAGTAATTTTGCAACATCTTAGAGCGGAGAAAATTTTTTTTATTAGGCTTGATGGGTGTTTGGGTTATTCAGATAATTTTTGAATTATTTATTCGTACTAGTATAAATGAGTTGATCCAACTTATCAATTCGTATTGATATAAATGAGTTGATGTAAGTATACTAATTGTAAAATTTCTATCAGAACTTGTTCGCATTACCTAAATTGCCACTTCGCAATTGTTATATTTGCTTGCAACTTAATGTTCTAATCACACAAATTGGCATTTTGCTATTGTTCTATTTGCTTGCAACTTAATGAGTTTACCTTATTTGACCAAACAATTTTGCGTGTTTTGTAGTTCATGAATTCAAGGTCGAAAAGTTTGATGAAAATTTGTGAAATGACCAAATGGAAATAAAGAAATTTTATTTTTAGCAATTATGAAAAGAAAAGGATAAAAGAGGCCACATGGCACTTGAATTACAAGACGGTATTAACTTACTTTTTCTTTACATATTTGTTGTCTTTACTCCTATTATTTTTCCCGCTAATTTTTTTTTCTTGGTGCATTTGGATGGTTAATCAATCAAAAATGGTAAAAAGTTTCGAAGTTACCACTCAATGACCCAAATTTCGAACTTTTTTCCAACTCCAATTATCAAACATTTAAAATAGTCAATTCATGAATTTTCAATATAACTAGTAATTGTTTAATTCAATTGTATTTTCTTTTTTAAATTTGTTTTCTATTTATGTCCTCCTACCAAATCCAGAATCCAAACAAAGGATTTACCTTCTTTGGATCTTTTTTCATTTCCCAAGTACTTTCCTTTGTCAACCAAACAAGAGAAAAGAATATGGTTTACAAGGAACCTACTTTCCATTCTTTTACTTTCCTTTCCTCAATGGCTTCCTGGAACCAAACAAGGCTAGGCTTGTGAGCAGAAAGCTTTACTTCTTAGAGGACGTTGACCATCTTTTCTGGTAATCATTCCGAATCCGTTGTTTATCTAGTTGCAGCACCCCACAAGGCCGGTGACCATCTTGTTTGAAGGGGCAACTTTTTGTTAGCTATTCTTCCTTTCAAAACTCCCACAATTGATTTAAAGTCTATAGGCACTAGGACCCTAATGACCCATTTGCATTATGATGCTTTGATTCGAAATAAAATTCCACCAAAATTTCAGGCACAAGTACCCAAACGGAAGAAGTACTACTGTAACCAGGCATTACCAGTTTACTACTCCATTAATACATCAAATAAGAGGAAAATCAAGGCTCTCCACAAAATGTTAGTCCATCGTACCATCAAAAATATAGTTTCACAGTAGAAACTTGGGATCACATGAATTCCAAATCTTCTTCCTGTGCTTCAAGAACTATGGTGGCAAGAGCAAGTCTATATGCGGTGGACCTCAAATTCCTAACCAGAACGTAAATTTCCTTCCTCCTCTTGCTAACAGAGATGGTCTTCCATTGATCCTCTCTAAGATGAGCAAGCAAGACCGCCTCACATAGAGCTATTGCCACATGCTTCTTGCTGTATGTCCATTAAAACAACAATCAAAAGCACAAAAATAAACCAAAAAGACTAAAAGGACAAACAAATGATGTCCAAAGGAACTCACGTCAACCAAATAAATTCACAAAGCAAAGAAAAGTTCATTCACAATCTCTCTTGCAGAATATACAATAATTACCTGCCTCGAATGAAGCCAGTTGTAATAAATCCAATCGGCCACCTAAAAGACTCTCTGACTACCGGTTCTTCTGGTACTTGAAGTGCCCATCTCCCAGATGGCTGCTGAACAAAATATGAACCCGGCAAAGACTGAGGTGCTTGAAATTTTCCAGCATCCTCCAGTCTACGTTGTTTGCAAGAAGATACTTTCAGAAAAGTTACTAGGAGCCTTAAAAGTTCCAGTTTCCAAAGTTCCTCTTTTTTAATT